CCTTCCTTCCTTCCTTCCTTCCTTCCTTCCTTCCTTCCAATATTCTGTACTTAAGATACCCCCAGCTATGTTGTTCTCAACCTACTGATAAACTAATTCTGGCTTAATAGAGCTGGGTTGATTCCTCAGGATTAAGCCAAGAAACAACCATATAGGGTAGGGTGAAGAGTGTTTTAAATATTATTAATTAAAAGATAGGAGCTAGAAACAAATACTGCTCATTGAGGGCTTTTGTTCAGACTCCAATTAGCTACCCATGTCATCTTCCAGAATATTTTTTTTTATTCCTTCCAACTACTCTTTCATTTTCCCCTGTAAAAGTAAATCAGCATTCATTGGGCAGTGGGTGTTATTTCTACCAAATCTATTTTTTGTTCTAAAGATCCTACTTTGGACACATTATGTGAAGACCCAGCTCTCTGGAGAAGGCTGCAATGCTGGGAAAGGTGGAAGGAAAGAGAAGAAGAGGACGACCAGCAGCAAGGTGAATGGACTCTGTGGCAGTGGCAATGAGTGCAGCGTTGGGAGATTTAAAAGAACAGGTTAGGGATAGATCATCATGGAGAAAATCTATCTATGTGGTTACTAGGAGTAAAAAATGACGTGATGACACATAAACTATATCATCTATCATCCATCTATATCTATCTATCTATCTATCTATCTATCTATCTATCTATCTATCTATCTTGGTAACACTTGGATATTTGAGTATCTGAGTCAAATAAAAGTTTGAGTATCTTTTATACTGAGTATCTATTAGCCTTCCTTCATGTGAAGATACTAGCTGGGAATTATGGGACATGCAGTCCTAACACTAGTGGGCAATGGTGGAATATGTGAAAAAGCTGAGCAAATTTTAGGGATGGAGTAAGGTACAAGTCAGAAATATCAGTAGCCAATATCTGACCAAGGATAGGAAGGAAGGAAGGAAGGAAGGAAGGAAGGAAGGAAGGAAGGAAGGAAGGAAGGCAAATTTTAACCTATTCAATTATCTAAGGGAAAAAAAACATAGCAGGGTCATCAAAGTACATTTCCTAGAAGTGGTTTTGAGTGGACAAGTCCTAGCATTAATAGATAAAAGCATGGCATGATGACAATCCATTAAGGAGGCAGGTCAGTTACACAATAAAAGCCCCATCTATAAATTATAAAATCATTGCAACTCTTTCTTTTAAATAATACATCACTTAATACCTCACTGATCTCTTCCAGACAGCCACATTAAAATGCTAGCCAACAATTCTTGAGTTAGGAGAAAAGTAAGTCAACATAAATTGTGCTGCCCCCATTGTTAATTCCTAGTTTGCAATAGTATGAAAGCGGTTCTTACACATCTTTTGTGGGCCAAGGGAAAGAAGGAGATTGGTGGATTTCCTTGGCTTTGTTTTCCCCACATGCCAGTGAGAAAAGAACCACCAATTGCTCTCCCCAATAAGTGGAGCTGGGTGTGTATAAGTCGTGCTTAGCCATTTGCCAAATTGTCTGATTAACAGGTGTAGCGGGGTGTGCAAGGTACAATATGAGGAAATGCCTCTGATGCTCCTGATTGGCACAAGACTACTTCTACAGCAATAAACTGTCAGGATATTTTTTTTCAGCATGACTCTAGTGTTCTTCTGAAAAAGCTCTAAACCCACATCTAAAAATAGCCTGATCACAGGCACAGAGGAGGCTGCAGGATGAAGTGGGAGATACTGATTACAAGCAACTTCTGTCCTTGACAGGTCCCGCTGCAAGAGAATGGCAGTGCTGGCACAAAGTGACGGGGGAATGTTCTGCAGAAGTGGCCAGTAGGCAATCATGCAGAACATGCAACTGGGATTGATCCTTGCCTAATAACAAGCCATCAAAATGACCCAAAATAGTGCAGGCAAAATGATGCCCCCTCCCAAAGTAATGAAAACAATAAAAAGTAAAGCCATGTAATATCCTTTGTCAGTGGAAGCAATAGAAAGCCTGTAATGCATCCAGTGATGATGGAACTAGCAACACCCAGCTCTCTTGGCGAGTTTAAATCAACCTTCTGTGCAGCAGACCTACAGCTTTTTCAAAAGATGCTAAAGCCATGTTTCTAAGGAGCTTGGGGAAGAGCCATCAAGTGCTTTGGAAAGTGCAGATCAGGTATTCTGTGGGCAAATGCACCTGTGGATACCAGGTGTTTGGTCTTGGTAGCCCAAGTCAAAATGACCATGAAGAGGGTGGAGAGGGGCATGCCTAGAGCAGCCTAAATTGGCTCCTAGGCCAGTAAGCCACTCAAAGTCCCCAGCAATGGATAGGATATAAATTCTAGTAAAGAGAGAGATAGACAGATGTGCAGGACATGCTGGGCAGATCCCAATCCCTGACCACATCATTGGTGAAGGATGCAAGATCATATCCAGGACAAAAATAGGGAAAACACTAGAACAGCTTTAATCTGCCTCAGATGTGGGGTGTGGATGAGATGGAGGCAATGCCACAAAGGCAGAAAAAGCCATTTCCAGAGGATGTTCATGCTGTGGGGAACATCCCCCCCCCCCGACTTCAAAATAACTTTTAAAAAACCCATTGATCCAGGAAGGTTTTGAAGCATCTTGATCTGATGCTATCGAACTAGCTTTTTAGCCATTTAAAGGAAAAATACATTTGCCTTTAAGAAACCTTCAGAATTCATTCACTGTGATAAATGTTGGTCCTTGTCATTTAAACTATCCAGCTGAATGGGAGAAAAGGCAGACCTGGCTTATCACATCCATTATCTCCATGGTATTTTCTTATCCACCTGCTCTGGTCCAAGAGTCTGTAGTAGTCCTTCTGCAGAACAGAGGCAGTTAGGAAATTTTCAGAAGGCTGAAATGCTAACTTTTAAAAACGCTCGATGGGAAATAGTAATTGTCTTTGGTGATGAGGAAATAGCCTAATGCGCCAAAAAGGCAGTAAGTTTAATATGGGCAGGTGAAAAAAAATGAATGCAAGAGAAATGGAATCTGTCCTGTACATCTCTTTATTTCACCCACACCCATTCATTCACTGTGGCTGCTCTAACCCAGTCTTAATTGGTCTTTCCACATCCTGTACTAAGCCCAGAGCATAATCATAAGCCATTCTGAAATCAACAGAAATGACAAACAGGGCGAAGAGAGGGAACGCACACGGGCGCCATGGCTCCTGAAATGATCTGCTCAGTGACGGTTCTCTTGGGTTTCCTCCTCCCTTGGCCACACAAATATCCAGCACACCCAAGTGGCATTAGTGTCCGTACCTGGACTTGGCGCTTCTTCTCCTGGAGCTCTCCATTCCGGTCACTATATTCAGGAGAATTGAACACAGACTCCAGTACATTGCTCTCTTTCTTACCTGGATATGTTTGTTTCAAATACAGCCTGGCTGCTTCCACACCTCCAGGTTCAGTGTCTCTCCTGCACTGTCTGTTCTCCTTGACTTCAGTACTGAATATGTGCTGTCTAAACCAAGACTGAACATCAGGGTAGTGGCTTCCAGTCAGCTGATTCAGCTGCTTTTTGGTTGTGGTTGCTAAATATAGATTGGTATATGTCATTCTGTTCCCTAAGAATTCTAATTTGATAAGTGCCTTGTGTTACTGGAAAGATTCAAAGCAGGGAATTGGGGAGACAACTTTCAGATAATCTCCATGACAAATAAATCATTGTCCCCTGGTACAATAAAAGCATTAGGTTATGCTTTATATGCTGAATTATTCAATAGGTCTGGTGCACTAGAAAGGGAATGATTTCATGTGCGCTGCATTTGCATCCGTGGGAAGCAGTTAGTGATGTATCAAGCTAAATTCCAAGCTGCTCCATCAGCAGAAGTAGGGCAGCATCATTGCTAAAAAAAAAAAAAAGTAATTAACAGGTGTTCTGTTTCTATGATCAGATAATGGGATAGGACTAAAGCCACATGTCTGTATTTCCTAATCTGTAACAAGAGTTTCTGTATAAGCTAAATCTCATCATTCAGATATGGAAGAACCTGTTAATACTGTGCTGGCTATAACAAGTAGAATGCCATGACTGAGGGGTCTTGGGTCAAATTGGTCCCCAGCCTTCTAAGTCCTAGCCACTCTCTGCCTAATTCTCCTTCCTTCCTTCCTTCCTTCCTTCCTTCCTTCCTTCCTTCCTTCCTTCCTTCCTTTTTTCCCCATCTCTCCCCATATTCCAGTTTTCTCTCTCTGTTGTCTTTGTCCCTTTCAAAGCAGTCCCTTTCTACTCTGGAAAAGCTTGAGCATTCAACTTTTCCTACACCTGGATCTCTTCATCGAGAATTTAGCCTCAAACAGGTTAATTCTTATTGTATTGAATGAACTGGTACAAAATGGTGGATGAGCAGCAGCCTACATTTTCACCTCTTTGGCACAAACCAAAAAAGAAGAATTGGTTACATTCTGAAATAGCCTTCCCTGTACAAAGATGAGAGATAAGACATAGTCTTCCCATTTGTTAGCAAAGGAAGTAGTGCTTTCATCTCAAGGTGAAATCACTTTGACTTTTTTTAGGCACTAAGGTCTGTGGGCTACGTCAAGCTGGTTTTGCTCACTTGAAATACATCCTTAATCAAAATTCATGGGCAATGGAAAGAGAGCAAGGGTGTGGGCAGATGACAAAATGTGTGTGATGACACCATCATGCAATGCTACAGCATCCAAACTAGTATCAGATGAGGGGATGCAAGGACATCACAGCATTTACCCAATGACATATTGCACACATGCTGCTCTCTGAATTTCCCACAATACAGAGGGCTTTGGACTTTTCTTTTTTCCTGGCATTATTGTGATTTCAAGATTCCCAAACTAGAAAAAATAAGTTTAATAAGTTCTTTTTCACATTAAAAAATGTCTTTCCATTATTTTTCCCCAAAAAACACTTTTAGTAAGACTTTGGCAATATGCAAATTTATATGCAGCATAATTTCAGCATATTGTTGCATATGTCTACTCAGAAGTAAATTCATATTAGTTCAGTAGGGCTTATTTCCATTAAGCGGGTATAGGAATGGGCATTAATTGATTAAAGGATGGACTAACTGCCCTAGTTATACTTTTTATTGATCTGCATTCAGAAATAATGCATTACATATAAAATAATGAAACATTTTCTCTATATAACTGTGCTTCTTTTAATTATTGATGGCCTAAAAGCATTTTAAAATGTTTTTAGTGTCACATGCATATTTAAAAAGGCATTCTGTTTGCATCCAAAGCATTTTTTTCAGCTAGAATAAAAGAGGCTTTTATTTACCTCGGCTTTTCTCCTTGGTTTCTTTAAATGGTCATCAAAATAGTTGATTGAACCTCTGAAAAATTCCTTGCCTTAATGCCTGAAGATGAAGAATGTATCAGTATTTATACCTTCTTCAAATACAATAAATCAGCCTGAGTACTAATGAAAGGAATGCAACAGCCTGGGCCATGCTGATTCAAACAAGCAGATAACTAGTTAATAGACCTGGAACAACAGGGCTATCCTTTAACTTGTAATTTTCCAGATATTTGCTTTGATTTCTAAGAGCCAATTTGGTAAATGAGTAAAGGATACATTCTTAAGATACTCACCGTATCCTTTAGCCTGAATAGAAAATATGTGTTCCATAAGTATCATGAGATAGTTTAGCTCAGCTATAGCCTCCGATGATTTGTCTTGCTGTTCCCTACCCCCGACTCCCACATACCCCAGATTGGTTGGGCTCAGGTTGGGCCTTTTTGTGTGTTAGGGGGAGTTTGAGTAGGAGAATGGGTGCTTTAAGCTTTGCTGATGCTTCAAACACCTATTTCTCTCCCCAAACCCTTTCCCCAAAGGGTTCTAGGCCATTAACATTAGCCAAATACAAAAATGAAAGAGAAAGAGAAAAAATACAAACAAAAATGAATAGAAAGAAATGCATATTAGAATAAGTGTATGTTGTTGTTGGTGGTGGTGGTCACACAGTCAGCCAGAAGTTTAGACTGGATTTGGCATTTTTATCCACCTATCGAGTCCTTCACAAGGACCTGGGATAGGCAGATGTTGTTTGATGGTGTTAAAGGTATTGTCGCAGGATGCTGTTCCAAGTAAAGCTGCCTTTTGCACTTGACTGATGGTGATTTTGTCAGTGCAGATGGTCTTCAAGTGTGCTCCAGATGTTTTGGGATTGCATCCAAGGCACCTATTACTATTGGTACTATCTTTGCTTTCTTTTGCCATTCTTATTCTTATTCTTTATAGGCTGCCTGATTCCCAACAATTCTGGGTGGTTTACAAATTGTTAAAAACATTTAAAAACAAAGGACAATATAAAAACAAAGCAGCACAAGACAAAAGAACAAAGATGGCAGAGAAAACAAACCTGGAGGGGAACAAAGAAAAGGAAGAAAGGGGAGTCAGTCATCCTTGCTAAAGGCCTTCAGGGTGCTTCAAAATACCAGTAGGGTGGGGGCCATTTGAATCTTGAGGTGAGCCTCATTCCAAAGGGCAGGCACTGTGACAAAGAAGGTGTGCTTCCGGGGTCCCAATAGATTACATTGTTTAATTGAAGGAACCTGGAGCATGCCAACCCTGCCAGATTGAACTAGTCAGGCAGATACTATGGAAGACACACAGTCCCTCAAGTACCAGGCTCTATGCCATGTAGAGCTTTATCAGTAGTGACCAGCACCTTGAGTCACACCTGCAAGCAAACTAGCAACCAGTGCAGCTTGTGAAGCAGAGGTGTTGCCCATCACTGCCATGCTGTTGCATTCTGGACCAGATGAAGCTTCTAAGGGGTCTTCAAGATGGTTGAGAAGGTTGTCAGTCTGCAGCTGATGAGAACTCAAGTACAGCACATTGCAGTAATCGAGCTGTAAGATCACCAGGGCATGAGTGACTATCTGAAGTGCCCCCCGATCTAGGAAAGGACTCAACTGGTGCACCAGATGAAGCTGGGAAAAAGCCTTCCCAATCACAGCTGCCACCTGCTCATCAAGCAGGAACTGTGTGCCCATGAAGACCCCCAAATTGCACACCACTCTTGAATGGGGAAGTGCAATCCCATACAAGGTCAAAGTTGGAATATCCCCAGATCTGGCCAGTCCACAGCTACTCAGGCTTGCTAAGATTGAGTCAGTTCCTCCCCATCCAAATCCACACAGCTTCCAGACACTCACAACAGAATCTCGAGAGGCTCACTTGGCCAGCCCAGAGTTGAAAGATATAATTAAGTGTAGTGATGATACCGAACCCCAAACTGGCAGATGACCTCATCCAGCAGTTTCATGTAGATTTTGAAAAGGAAGGGAGAGAGACTAGAGCCCTGTGGCACCCCACAGAGCCAGCCCAGAAGGATACTATGGTTGATGGTAATTAAAGCTGCCAAGAAATCAAGGATGCACCACCACCATCCCAGCTCCATAACAGATCATGAACAAGTGCAATCAAAGCTGTCTCAGTAGTAAATCCTGGCCTGACTGAAATGGGTCTCAATAACCCATTTCCTCCAGAGTTCTCATCAGCTGCAGACTGACAACCTTCTCAACTACCTTCCCCAGGTGGTTAAAGACAGGTCGATAGTTATCAATAGTTATTGAAGACCATTAGGCCCAAGGACAGCCTCTTGAAAAGGGGGCTCATCACTACCTCTTTCAAGGCTGGGGGCACCACCCCCTCCATCAAAGAGACTCACACTACAACATGGGCCCAACTGCAGGTCACCTCCCTGGCCACTTTCACAACCCAGGAGGGACCTGGATCCAGTAAACAGATGACCTTCCTCAGGAGCCATCAGTTCAAATTCATCCCAGATCACACCACCTGACCATACTCCAGGCACCTTGGCCTGCTCAAAAGCAAAACAAAAACTTGTTTCTTAATCAACACATTTAGCCCTGACCACCCTGAGTTATACTGATTGGGCTTTCCACAGTATCAGTTGAAGACCAATTTATATGTAGAAAGTGAACACATGTCTTCCATCCATGGTTTTAATCAGGTGTAATATTTTTTGAGCTATAGCCCACACATGCTAAATCTAAAGGTCTGTAAAATTTGATAATTTCCAAATTTGTGGAATGTAATTTAACATCATATTCACATACTATTCTGTTTCTTTTGCTAAAATAATATTAATAAACTTATCAATATTAAACCCAAACAATGTCACTTTAGAACAAGTCCAAAACATGTGAGTCAGTGTTTCTTCCAAAGTATTACATGTCCGAAAAGTAGAAACCAATTCCCTATTACACGTCATCTGAGGTGTCCAATAGTCACAAACAAGACCCTGGTTGTATTAATTGAATCTTAAGATAATAGGATACACTTTTAATGTTCTGTAATACTTTAGCACATGGATTTGTTAAAAACAGGATATTCCAACCATATATTCCAATTTTTTTGTATGATTCCCATATGATTCTTAATGGTATTTTTCAGCTACACCCTACATTTTAATTGTGGATTTGGAAATTTCCAAGTATTTGTTCAATAATGTTAATACTTC